ACACCATCAGTAGTCGTTTTTTAGTGTATTTTCAGACTATCACAAAAATCCTGTGTGGGTTTTAGTCATTATTAGAATGTGTTGCAGTGTTTGTACAGGAAAAAACGGTGTAAATAAATATAAGCGGGCTTTCCAGCCGCCAGTGAGCTCTGTTTGTTTAACCTAACTGCTGTGCTGATAGAAAACCTCAGGCTGAGGTAAAGAGTCGAAGCTGCTCGATTGGATGCAACGTCACGGAAAGCATCACGGACAGATTCTCCTGACGTCTTTAAGCCTCCAGATCAATCAAAAGCCATTCAGCTGCTGTTTTTTTTCATCCTTTCTGCTCTGTGACTCTTTAAACATATTTCTTCATTTTTCCATCTCACCCTGCATTTGTTACATAATTTAATTACAGCTTTGTCTCGTTTCTATCAATTTCTCACCTGTTTTATTAGTGTTCTCAGTGCCGTGCCCTCATGTTGAGACAATTTCTGCATGTGCTTTTCTATTACAGAGCAACTCTGAAGTCACCTGCATAGAGGGTTACAGGAAGGAGTAGGAGATGAAATAATAAAATATTTGATAATAAATTCAAGCAGTAGTGGGAATGTAACTTAAAAAAACTGAAATTCTTTCTGGGTTGCATATAGATGGGACAGATGGTGCCGCTCCCCTGTTCTTCTTATGACACTGATTCTCTTTACCACACTCCAGAATTTAATTATCTCCAATAATTACACGTCTCCACCTTGGTTCTGTCACTCATCTTGACAAGAGCCTCACAATAGCAGTTCTGGCTTATTTTACGTCCGTTCCGGGGAGCAAGGTTGAAATGTTTCCTCTCCATCCGTGACGGCTCGCTGTCCTGTCACCTCGGCAGACGGTTCAGTCAGCGAGGTGGAGCCAAACGTCTGGGCTCTGGCAGTTCTTCTATAAGAACTCAACAAGATTGAAAAATTTACAACCCCATGATGAAACGGGGGCCAATCTGCGCAGCAGGCAGCAGCTTCGACGTGTCATTGATGCTGGTATCAAAGAAGTGATACATGACACGCAGCACAAAGCCAGAGGCGAGGTTCTGATGTCAAACTCTGACCAGAGTCAGAGCTGCAGGTGATTGACAAGCTCACATCAGAGAGGGAAATGCAGCCGTCTCTTCCAAAACACCAGTGCAGCGCAGAGCAGAATTAAGAAAAAAAACTGAAAATGAGGAAGGTTTTATCATCTCATTCTGGATTGGATGAGATGTGGCTCCATCAATAAACCGTCCAATTTAAACTGCTTATCAGCAAGCCGACAGGCATGTTGACTGAGCCAAAGATCCTTTAGAGTAAAATCTTTTAGTGATTATCAGTAACTGCTCCAACGGTGCAGTTACATGTGAACATCACTGAATTAGGATACCATTTGAAAAGGTGATTTATTTTGGTCATTTAATTCACAAACTCACAAATGGCTCCTCTACACACAGAGTGGTCTACTTCTGCTGTTTATGTCTGATTGGTGCTTAAAGTAGATCAGAATTCAACTGTTGAATCAGAACAATTCTAAAAATATTTTTAATACACAAATATTCTGTTGATGTTATGACCCACACAATAATGCATAAGGTTGCTGCTGTATCCAAGTATAATCATGGAAAGTTTAGTGGAAGTAAAAAGTTTGGTGGAAAAGAGTAAACAGGAAATAACAGCTTTAATGATCTTTAATGAGAAGCAGAGCTTGAAAATGTATGAAATCATAACAATTATGGGAATAAATGAGGATTTTGCTGAATTAACAGGACACTGGAGGTCATTTAATCAAGATGTTATGTCTAACCATTAATATGATCATTTAGTTTTTTATGTAGACAGACATCCATGTGAAATTTGCTAGTGAAACATGCCGCCTTAAATCACATCCATCTACTCAATCAGTAAAACTGAAGTTTATGCCATTGATGACCTGAGCTGTGTGGATTAATAATGATCCAGGGTTTTAGACATCATGTTTGTATGAGGCGATAAATGAACAGTTCACATAGAGGGCATTACTTTATTACTACAAATAATAAATATACTGAAGTGTTTCCGTCAACTACAAGTTTGCTTGTGACAGAAAGGCCAGATGGGCATCTCTCGGAATATAATGAAACAAAAGTAGCGTGAACTCTGGGAAAATATTAGATGTTTTTAATTTAATTTGATTAGAAATTACATGTTAAAAACATTTCTGTTTGCCAGTGGTTCACTATGCCAAAAGTACCAATACTGGCTCTAGTAACCAGAGCATCACTGGTTGATTGTCAAGAGGAAGACGAGACGCCACAGCTGACGAAGGTCATTATTAAACCAACAGAAGCTTCATTAAGGCCTCAGCAGAACCGAGGCTCATCGGCCCCAAGTCACATCGCAGTGATGCACAAAGAGACGCAACCAAGTTATCAGCGCAGACCGTACAGGACATGGACGTACGTTTTAAGATTTTCATCAAGAATCATCTAAATTAACCAAAAGTAAGATTAAATATATCTATTCCATGCTATAGATGTCTGAGTTTTGTTTTAAAATTAAATGACTGAGATAAAAAAGCAACTTTTTGAGGATATTGTAATTTATTGCGACACAGCTGTATGTTTGAGACACCAGATGGTTGCTGTTCTTCTTGCAGCGATAAGACAGCCTGTTGGAAATGTGCTCCCACACACCTGAATGACTCGGATTAATCAAAGTGAAATCCTCTTATTTGAAGGAACTATTTGCCCAAACTTTATATCAACATGTAAGGAAACCAGACTCTGCAGATGCCACTTGTTATATGTTATGCATCAAATCTGAAAAGGATACAGAGATGTGTGCATGAATATAAAGAGATCCTCTCACCTCTGGTGGCTGGTTTTAGCTCAGGAACTTTAAATATATATCTAGAGAACATTATTCACACATTTGTGTCATCGCATTTGCATTCCTGTAATGCTGTTTTTACCAGTCAGGACAGATCATCAGTTTCAGGTCTGGAAGCTGTGCCTGGTTTACACAGCAAGAATATAAAATTGTCGGCCGATTTTCAAAACCTGACGCACCTCACACACGTTAATAAAAAAATCCCAGGTATAACAGGCTTTGTCATACAATACAATCACATGGCAGAGAGCACAACACACACACAAACCGATTTCACACACATACATCCACATACCAGACGCCAAATTTCACAGAACTCAACATGAGTTCAGCGTAAACAAGCATGGCTGACTGGGAAGAAGCAGGGGTGATAGTTTGAACTATTTTTAACAGAGAAAAAGGACAGAAGTTCTCTGTCCACCGGACTTTCCGGTGCACCAGGGCATTTATTTTGTCTTTATTTTGGAATCCCCTCTGTGTTTCTGTCACATTCAACAGGTCGTGTTCTTGTTCGTCCTCGGAGGAAACCACACCCTGTGAAATCGAGTCAAGATGATCCAACATGTTGAATATCCCTGATTTTAGATCAAAGAGATCCCAATGTCCAAACAGGACCAGATCTCTCTCAACACGCCTCACCCCACAGAAATCTCTTTTAAGATTAAGTTAAGAGCCATCCTGATAATCAGGGCATTCTTAAGATTGTCAGGAAATTGGCGTAAAGGTCTTCCTGTGTGAAGCAGGCTTTCACTCTGTGGGTCTTAATGCTCCTGCAGCTTTACTTTTCTGACTGGAGGATTTCTAAGGACCAGCTGAGAACTGTTTTGTTTTCTCAGGCTTTTATGTCATGATTTTACTCTTTGTTATGCTTCTTTTCTCACTATGTTCATTTTGGTTGTGATTTTTCTTGTACAGCATCTTTTTGGCTTTGATTCAACAAAATGTGCTTTATAAATCAACTTTACTAACTTACTAGAGGAGTTACTTTTTCTATAAAACTCTTCTTTGTTCAACTGTGACACTTCCAGAAGAACAGGTCACTTTTAGAGGAGCAGGTCATGTTTGCACAAAGGAAACAAACCCAAACTGGACTGACAGAAATAACAGCAGCATTTTTTCCTTTTGGCTCTGAAGTGTTCCTGTGTTCCCTTGAAGGTCAGACTGTGAAGACTGTTTGCTGCTGGCAGACAGCTGAACTTGATGTGAGAAAGCAGCCATTTCTTTTGTCCCTGGGAGCAAAGCGGTGTTATTTGGTCATTGTACTTCACTTTTAAACAATCTTTTGGTTTAATATGTGTTTCATTTGTCTTAATAGATCTTTTTATTGCAAATGCATATTGTTTAGAGGGCCTTTGAGATCTCAAGATGTTAAGGGCATTATAAAAAAAAATATTTAATTTATTAGCAAAAGTATAACAGCAGGAATACCAATAATGATCTCATTCAAGATTTTTCCCCCACTATGAGATTAAGTTACTGCAGTGAAAATACATTTAAAAACACAGGGTCCAAACAAAAGAAGAGAGCACTGTAAAGTTTTGGTGGTTCAATGTGGCATTTTTTTAAAGTGTTTTTGCAATATGGCATTCAATTTCCAAAATTGTTTTCTGTTGTAATAATTGTGTATTATATTGAAACTTTGTTGGTGCATTGGTGGTATTTTACTACTTTTATGCCCTAAAATGATTATAAAAGTTTAATATTTACTGTATTTATTAATTGGTTTTGTAAGTTTTTTTGTAAAATTTTCTAACTTAGATATTTTTTGTGCGTTTTTATGCAGCGTTATCAGTTTGCTTTGGTGTTTTTTGTGATAATAATCACAAAAAACACCAAAGTATTAGTCAAAATCATGCAATATTTCTTGATTTGATCTTTGAATTCAAGCTGAAAGCTAAAGCAAAGTAGAGAAAGTATAAACACATGAAACTGATAATTTTTTCCTCTTTCTCCCCATCTTTTCCTTCTTTCTTCCTTTCTCAACTCTTTTACACAAACTGTTTTTTTTGTTGTTTTTTTTACCTTTTTCATTCTGTGCCACTCTTTTTGGATTTTGGACCATCTGTGTTCTTATCGCCACGGTTTCTCTTCCCCTCTTTGCTCCCACCTTCTCCCCATTTTCTGCGACACCAGCCAAGCCCAAGAACTCGGCCAAAGCCGTGACGGTCCAGGCTGGCAGCAAGTCGGTGATGGTGGCCCACTGCGAGGCGGCGGACGGGAAACCGGCCGCCACCATCAAGTGGCTGGCATCGGTCGGCGGCAACCACTCCACCAGCTCCACGAACGGGCCGGACGGCACGGTGACGGTTCGGAGCGAGTACAGGCTGGTCCCGACGGCGGAGGACAACGGCAGAGAGGTGACCTGTCTGGTCGACCAGAAGACCCAGGACCGGCCGTGGACTGAGGTTCTGAAGCTCTCAGTGGAGTGTAAGTTACATAAAACAAACACTGAGTCAAACACAGATTCTTGCATTATATTTCAATTAGAAATGCACCAATCCACTTTTTTCACTTCCAATCTGATATCTTTTAAGTTGTAAAAACTTGACAGATTGTTCAGTTTTTAGTTTTTTTTTATCAAAACATTCACAGTGAATCACTTCGACATGCAAGCTGCCCATCAGACTGTTGGTAGCAGTGACTGAATGCACATAAACAAAAACCATATAAAGTTCTGTCTTCATGCAGCAACATAGGAAGGAAATGCTTCCCACTGAACGTCCTGCTCATCTTTAATAGGATGTTAGAGGCCGATTCAGCATAAATATAAGTGAGACGTGTGATAAACATGAGCTGCATAAATACATGGGAAACGGAATGCAGCCATGCATGTATAAAGAATGCATGGTTGCAAAAACATGAAGGGCAGAATGTCCCAAAGCTCAGATTGATTTTAAATTTAACACATTTTCTCCTCACTTTTGATTTTCAGAGGAAAGGTCGACATTTGTCAGTTGTTCTTATTGAGATTTTTATGAGCTGCAGTTGAGAGCTCAGCTGTCTGAAGGCCATTTTACTGGAGCTGTGATGCAACATGTGGACACATGAACTCATGTCTTATTTTCTCACATTTCTTCCTTATTTGACCCTCACCACAAACATTGTGTTGCTTCAAATAAAATGGCCCAACAGGAGAGTGCAAAAGTATTTGCACCTTTGGCCCTTTCCAGAATTCATTAAGTTAGTCACAAACCTTCAAGTACTTCATCTGCATTTTATGTCACACACTAAGACAAAGCACCACAAAATGTTTTTATTTTTCAATTAAACATTTTAAAGTGTGGCATGCATTTGTATTCAGATCTACAGACTTATTTTATTCTGCTCAGTTAAGTTAAATGGAGAACGTGTCTGAATATTCATGTCCACGTTTCGCCACAAACCGATGGATTTAGGTCTGAACTACACCAGCAGATGGATATGCTTTGATCTAAAGCGTATATATATTTCTGCTGCAAGTATCTCCACAGCATGATGCTTCCACCACCATGCTTTACCATGGGGATGGTGTGTTCACGTATACTGGCAAACTGCAAAACTTCCTTTTATTTGTTTCAAAACAGCCTTTCTTCTTGCAAGTCTTCAATAAAGACGGAGAGTTACCCTGAAATTCACCCATCTTTGCAGCTCCCTCAGAAACTTTCCGCTGATAAAACGGAAGCCTTAAAACACCAGGAGCAACCAGACACAACCATCACAGAAACTGTGCCAAAGTTTAAAAAGTTAAACCGCATCAGTCTGTAGAACAATGAACAGGACTGCACTGTGAAAGGTGTCAAAAATGATCCGTTTAGTTATTGTAATTAAGCACAGCTTTCACTTCCAGACCCTCCCACCGTCACCATCGACGGTTACGACCACAACTGGTACGTTGGTCGCTCTGACGCGGTTCTGTTCTGCCATGCCACGGCCAACCCAGAGCCCACCACCATCACCTGGACAACGTGAGCAGCACAGATTAACCTGTAAAGTTCAGCAGATGGACGACGGGTGGCCCTGTCCTCATATTAACCCCGTCCTGTCTTCCTGTTTGGTCGTCCCCAGGGCTTCGGGCTCGCTGCCGGACACGGTGGTGGTGGAGCAAAACAAGCTGACGGTGAGGAAGGTGGACGACGCCGTCAACACCACCTTCACCTGCGAGGTCAAGAACAAGCACGGCGCCAGCAGGAAAACGCTCACCACGTTCGTCATCGGTGAGTCCGAACAAAACCTCCCAAACACACAAAGACGCCGTTAACACCAAACCCCACAACCGCCGTTTCTGCAGCGCAACTTGATGCAGAAAAATGTTTGAAGGCTCAACATGTCCTCCACCCTCCCCCACCACTCACACACACCTGCACACATGCATGCAGATTTCATTTTTGGAAGCTCTCACATGCTGGGATCAGAGCTGATCTGATCGCTGTGGGGGTTCTGATCTGTTTGCTGCTCGCTGTCAGCAGGGGCCGGCGGAGGCTTTTGATTGGCTATTTCCCCACAGTAGGGCCAAATTGCACGATAAGGGCCAATACTTGTAACTTTTAAAATGAAATCTATGTGCTGAAGTTGAGTCTGTGCACCCAGCACTCAGCTGGAGGTGATTAACTGTGAAGGAGGCCGTTATCGCACTGCCTTGGCCCTGCTGTGGACGCTCCGGTGTTGGGATTGTTTTGGGATTTCTAAATTTTTCCAAAGGGTTGAAGTTGGTGTGAGCCAGTTTGCAGAGGTTTGCTTTTATTTCTTACCCTTTTCCCACCTTCCATCAGCAACAAATACATTTACTAACACTTTCCTGAAGTTCTTATCTCCTTTTTCCTTTCCTGTCTCATGACGTTTCTGGATCAGGGTTGGTTTTGCTCTTGGGTTTGACCGTTGCTGTCTTGGTTGGGACTTTCTTTCACAAACTGATCAAACACGTCCACAAACTGAAACTCTCCATGATGAAGGTGTCAGAAGTTGTGTTGATTTCTCCTCGATTTGCTTTCAGTGTTGCACTCAACAGCTTCTCTATTGGTGAAAATCCTTTTCTTTGTCAGAGGAATTAGATGGATTATCACTATATTGAGCTTCACAACAAGACATGATTAAAACTAACATATTCTCTTTAACCAAATGACAGCGAGGAATCTACATTTAGAAAATCCGTGGGAAATCTGAGCCGCAGATTTGAATTGTTCTTTTGCAGAAAACAAAGCTCCCTTTCAGCCGGGCGGTGTGCAGGGTGTGTGGGAGGTTCGGAAGTGGCTTAGCTGCTCCTGTTCTCGCTGGAAGCACAGCATTGTGGCCGACTCAGAGTATCACCAAGTCAATGCTTTCTTCTTCCAGCACATCTCAACAAAATCCCTTTCAGACACATGTAAAACCCCCGCTCAGTCCATACACAGGCTCGCCCAACACTTTTAGGGCCTTGCAGAAACAGTTTTCATCTTTTTGTATCTGAGATCAAGGCCGAGCTTTGATTCATCCTCCTCTGTGCTGAATGTGTCGTCTGTTTCATGGCTTCTGTTACAGTAAGTAGATGGTGTAAACTGAACTCTGTTAAAGAAGGTGAGTACCAGAGGCGGTGGGCTGACCCAACACTTTGTGTGAGTGAAGATGATAAAAGGAACTGTTGGAGTAAGAATAACTAGATTTGTGCTGAAGTCAACGCTGTGGCATGTTTCTGGTATGCAGGCGCTTCTGAAAAGATTTTCTTCTGCTCACTAACTAGTAAACTGCCTTTCTGTGCTGTGATTATGCAGTAACATTAGACATTGTGGATAAAAGTGATTAATTTATCCTCCTTGTTCGGATGTAATGCACAGCTGACTGACGGCTCGCTTCACGTTTGGGGAAAACTCTTCACTGTCATCTTATTTTAAAAGTTTAAACAGAAAGTGAAAAATAAAACATCTGGTCCCACTTCGCAAAAACAACTAGCATTTTTTAATAACTACTGAATAATTAATAAACCTGTTATTAATCAAGCTCTGACATCCTTCTAGACAACTGCACAGTAGCTTTTAATTGCATGTAATGAGATGAAATAATGAATCACAGCAGCTCATTAAAGTAGCTTAGAGGCTGTGAAGACCTTTGATTGCTGCTGTGTAATATGAGCGAACATTAAATGTTTATTTAGCAGCTGAAAGATGCACAACACTTGTAGATATTGTGTTCATGTACAAGTAAACAGACCTGGTTAGTCTTATGGCATTAGTGTTGAAGCACCAATCATGGCTCTGAATTTTCCCGTTTTAGTCAGTCTGTAAATGCATCAACGGTCAGAATCAGACTGAAGGTTAGGAATTTATTTGGTGCATAAATGTTGATACTGTTGTTATTTTCTCTTGGATTTTCTGGTCTCCTGGTTTTGCTTTTGAGTTGATCCTGATATCCAGATTTGAATAATCTGCAAGTATCGATATTTTCTGACCCAGGATTCGTTCACTTAAGTGTTTGATTTTGGTTTGTTTATTTTTTTTCCTAGTTTTGTATATTTTCACTTAAAAAAACCATCACCAATAATAGCTCCACTGCTACTTGTGGTGCTGATTTATTGAGCTGTTCTTATATTTACCAGATTGATATGAATGTAATTAGTTTACATAACCATCCAGAAACTTGTTTCTGGTTCGTTAACGTTCCTCGTTTCGGCTGAGCTGCTGAATTCCAGCTGCAGTGATGATCTTCATGGTTATCGTGGGTCGACCCACCATTCTGATTCATATTCATCATTTTGTTGCATTGGCTCAGGAGAAGTCCCAGCACTCCAGATGGCCGGTCTGCCACTGGTAGTGAGTCACAGTGAGAACGCATCATTTATTTCACCTTTCCAAAGGATCAGCAGCACAAGGCTGAGTGACTCATTCAGTTCAGCCACTAAATGCTCAAAGGAAGCATCTTGTTGGTGACACACACTTCAGTCCTTCATGTCGGCTTTCTTGGACAACTTCTATTTGTTTCCTTCTATGCTCAGTTAAACACCACAGAGAAACGCTGGAGCAGTGAAGCAGCACTTTGGTATTTTCTCTATTTTATATGTATTTTGTTGACGTAACAACCAGTCACTTTTTCTTTTCTTAGCAACCATCACCAGATTCATCTGCTAGCTTAGTACAATCACAGCAACCACTTTATATCTGATGTGATGCATTCAGATGCAGAACATTCGGTATTGCTGTCAATCTTCTATAGAAGCAGAAAAATGAATAGTGGAATATCTGGGTTTTTCATGAGTTTTATGGAAAAAATGACTCGCCTGTTATGAAAAAGAAGAAAATAACAGTCGAGCTCGCCCTGGCTGTTGAGGTTCCTGTTCTGGAAACTGAAAGAGGTAAATGATGATCTTTGCAGTCCAATTCAGTACAATAACAACAAATTCTGATGTGCCCAAACCAAATTTATTTCTATACATTCCAGTTCTGTTCAGAATTAATCCAATTATGACCCTATTATATAGAGCAGAGGGGTCTGACGTACAGTTTGGGATTTCTTTAATGGCCCCAGGAGTCGTTTAGTGTGCAGGAAGTCGATGCAGATCTACTTTTTAATAAAAACTGGTGTGAAATTTTCACCGAGAACTAAAAAACCGCCTCAGTTGGAAAGAAGCACAAACTCATTTTCTCTCAGGTTCCTCAGATTATGAAACACTTTTACTCAGAAGCTGATGTGGCTAAATAAAGCAAGACATTTTAAGGGGAAATCTGCAATGTTTAATTTTTTTGTAGAAATTACACTATTTATTCATTTGTGCATTTAGTTTCTTGCCAAACGGGTAAAAAATATTTATAAATGTTAAAAATAATATCATTTTTCCGACCCACAACTACCTTTTTGATCCCACAAGTGATCAGTTTGGTCACTCCTGATGTAGAGTCAGATTTGCTACATCAGTTGCAAAATAAAACAGAAAGTTAAAGGACTGAAAAGTTACATCAAAGTCTCATTTGGAATAAAACTCTCATCCCAAATAACCCAAAATGTCCTGGACACCCTGAGGATGCAGCGATGACTTGTTGCCATCAGACAGTTGGGCCGAATTCGTCCGACTTTTATTCAATCCCAAGCAGTTTTCACTGGATTAGGCTTTACGGTCGCAGTTAGACCCTCTTTGCAGGAATTGTCCCAAATCTCCTTTTTGGGTGTTAAACCTGCTCTTCATCTTCTGTATCTGAACTTTCCAAATACTCTCTCTTTCCTCCAACTAATCACACCTAAATGGAAACCAGAACCTCTTTGTTAGCCTCCTTCATGTCAATTAATAAGACAAGCTAATTGAGATGATTCTGTTCCTGCCAGGAAAGAGAGTACCAACCCCTATTAAAACTGAAAGGACACGACTTAAACCATGAGAGTCAGATGGATTGAAGATATCATTAAGGCTCTGAGAATGAAATCATAAGTGTGTCCTATCTTATTTCTGGCACTGAGTGACCACTAGCAGAAATTGTTGAACCTTTTTACCTCACATCCTTTCTCCTGCTTCAACTTCTGAGACACAACGTTGTTTTGAGAATGGTGCTTTTTTTCCGAGGTCGGGCACCATGAATGTATCGAGCCAATTACCTCAACAGAAGACACGCTTCGGATGAGGGAGAAAATCATTACCATTGACCCTTGGACAAACACAGTCGGCTGCTTTAAAGGTCAGAGTGGTTATCTGCTGCTGTTGAAGCTGCAAATGAGTAAAATGTTGCTTTAGCCGCCTAAAAGCTGCTGAATGTCGCAACAGGAAGTGACTTTATGTGGGTTTTTGTTTTGGAGCTGGCATCCTGAAAAGCTTTTTGATTTTTTTAAACTATTCCTTGACTGAAGCATCTTTTTAGCACAAGATAAACGAAGTTGTTTATGAAATCACTCAACTAAAATGTGTAAAAAGTTTAGATAAGAATTCACTTTTAAAAATCTTAGAAACATTATCAAACCTCGTGTTTAGCCAATGACGGAACAGGAGAAAACACTTTGCTAGTGTAAGGTCAGTTTTCCTAAATTATTGTCTTGAACAGCTCAGGGAGGAGATTGATGTTTTCACACCATGCTGCTACAACAGGGTCACACTTTTAACAAATATATAAAAACATTTTTTTAAATAAAAGTTGATCTGTAGCGGACGCTGCTGCGATCCGTTAGCGGTTCCTCTCTGTTCTGTTACATGCTTGCTGGAAGCCTCATGCCGTCTGCCCCCCCCCCACACACACACACACAAACCCCCATCAGACCACAGGGCAGC